TGGAAGGAGACGGCGGACGCCCGCGCCAGAAATAAAAATAGCTAAAATAAATGTCGGATAGATTAAAATGTACCTCGCGCTTCTGACGGCAGGTTTTTCCCCCATCAGGGGTTTTTTCTGAGCCGTACCTCTGTGGTCTCTTTTCCGCCGGCTTTGATGCGGATGGAGAGACCATTTGGGGTGAATACCAGAATTCGAAGATGAGAACGCGAAAGGATGTAGGTATTGCGAATGGCTTAAAGGCTTCGGCCTAGCCACATAGGATCAAGTAATCTAATTTTGATTGTAATAATTACCTATTAAATAAATAAATAATAATGCAAGGCCACACTCTTCTCTGCTCCCAAATGCAACAATTGCAGAATTTCAGTGAGATGTCCTTCCCACCCACCTTACAGTCCAGACTCGTTCCTTCGGACTTTCATCTTTTCGCACCTCTAAAAGCAAGTTTGCACGGTCATCATTTTCGAGACAATATAAGTTTGAAGAACGCCGTGCGCCATTGGCTGCGGAAGCAGGACAAGCAATTTTTACCGCCAGGGAATACACGAACTCGTGCAACGTTGGACAAAATTGGACAATTAAAAGGATAATATTTTTGAATTATAAATTATTATAAAGATAGTTTGAGGAATAAATTCATATTCCATTACACTTTTTCTTTGAATACTTAATACTTATACTTTATTAAATACGTATAAATTCGGAGGCATTTCTATCTGACTGCCCTTTGTATTATTATCTACTAAACGCATAATACTTTCCAGCTTACCATTCGCATTGCAGCAAGCAAAGCATTGATACCGCTGAATATCTTATAGACTCAATTTATCTTGCCCTATCCAAATTTTACAATTCTTATAACAAGAACACTTGCTAACGAATGCTTGGCAGGTGATGTTATTAATCTCTTACGACAACTAGAATACAGAGTAAAAACGAGAAAAACAAGAAATTCAAAGAACACAAATTTTAGAAGTTCTGTATTATGGGTTCTAACATTACTTTACTTGATTCAGAACACCTGGATTGTAACATCTTTTCCTTTCTTGTTTTGAGTTGGATAAAAAGTTATACTTTTACCATTTTTAACATTCAAAGGAAATTGTGAAATTTATTATATTATTATCTTTTTTAACAAGGAAACGTATCCAAAACAGGAATGTTGCTCACCTGTTACGAGGTTAGATATAAGATGATATAACAATTTGTGGTCTGCACGCATACGTCTCGACCGGACGTTGTAGTAACATGAAATGATTTGGTAGGAGTAGGGTTAGGGTGAGATTGGAGGGGGGAGAAGAGGGGTGGGAGAAGTGAGAAGGGTTGGTCTAGGAAGGGGAAGATGAGAAGTTGGAATTGAAAGCGAAAATATATTTCTTTTTGAGTTTACGTTTAAATTTAGAAAGTGTAATGTCATAATTATTTGTGAAACTATTGCATTCTAAGATTGTATTAACTATGGGAAGATTTTTCGTAATGTTTCTATATTAAGTCAATCATAACAATTCTGCACAATATTAAAAATTTATACAGTATCATAATCTATTCAATGATTTGTTTTTACTCTCGTTTACGTTCAGAAATAACTCTCTTGGTAACTTTCTTTTTAACCTTTTGCGGTGAGTATTTTTCTTACCTTGTGAAAGTGAATAGCTGAAGGGATCTTTAATATTTTGGGATAGAATTTTACGAATAAGAGATAGAAGTGGATGGGTATTGGTGTGATGCCAAGTTTGTTATGTAACTGCGCATTCAGAATGTACCAGGGAGCTTTTGTGATGGTGCGTAGGAATCCATTTTGAAAAAAATGGATTTTATTGAAGTTTGTTTTGGCTGCGGCAGCCCAGACAGGGAACGCATAGGAAAGTATAAGTCGCTTTATAGAGGTGAATAGCAACATGTAGTAGGGGGGATGATTTTTTCAGAATCGGATATAATTGTTTGGACTCTACTAGTTGCTAGCGCTATTCGGTGTTTTATATTTTGCCGCCATGTAAGCCTTTAATCGAATCGCGCCAATTTCTGTGGCGTTCTCGCGAGCTCTAGTACGCTTGTTAACTTGCCTGCGACCTCGACATGCCTGCTCTATAGATTATCAGAGTTAGTAGAGAAAATATTTTAATTGTCAAGTTTAATTAAAGGTTGTGTTAGCAAGGAAAACGAGATATTAAATGGTTCACGTAGTTGTAATTAATAAACTCAAGAAGCAAAAAAGCATTCGTCTAATTCAGTATTTTAAGTCCATGTAATACACTAGCACCTTACAATTATTTCAGGGCTTCATTTCATTCTGTAAATGTTTCTATTTTTAATGAAACATGTAAATATGGAATGTGGTGTAGATATTTTAATCCAATGATTTACTTAAGCTCTCTTATTTAAATCAACAAACCTTCTTTTCTTATTTTTCACTATTTCTCAAGCTGATGCAATTTATGGCCTCATAATTGTAATTAATAATCATTTAATATTTTCATATTTTTTCATAAATGACACAAATTTATGAATTAAAAATATCACAGTAATATTTTCTCAACTAATTGGCTAAACAAAAATGCTTTGATTTATTATAACAAATAAGACAGAAGAAGACATACATCAATTTTGCATTACATTTGGTTAAATTTTAAACAAAATATCACGTCAATTCCTCTTCGTTCTTTTTTTTAATACTAAACTTGTGTAAGGTTCTTCAGTATTATAAAAATTAACTTTATGACAAATTAAAACAAACTAATATAATTTTATTCCACAATTTAATACAATACAAATGAAATATTTTATATCATTTCTGTTTCAATGCTCCTTAAAACTAATCAATTCTATCTTCTTATAAATATTGTTTACATGTCTGAGAGATATGGAACATCATATATATTACATAAATATAAGGCGATGCATTAAAGACGGCTACTTAAAACTAATAAGGCAAGAAAGTAAAAATGTACATGAGTTTATGTTTAATGATATTTATTTTTATTGTAATTCTAAGACTTTTTTGTTTTCTTTCCTAACACAGCATAATTTATTTCCAAAAAAACGTCGTGAAAATGGACGAACGCAGAAAATTATAAATATTTCCGCAACACTCAGCAAACTTGCTCCCAAAAATAAACCTGCTATTCCTCCAAAAGACACTAGAACAGAAAATTATTATTATTATTATTATTATTATTATTATTATTATTATTATTTCACAACTAATTTATTCATTTCGATGTTCTCGCTGATACATCTCGCTCCTAATGCAATAGGGACACATCGCTGAAAAATTGAAAATTAAGATACATCCGTTGTTAGATTCCTTGTTATCCATTACGATATATGTTCAACAATGCCATTCTTTTAGTTTCATAAACAGCCAAGTAATAGCAATACAATTCCTGCTTTTAAATGCGCTCGAGAAAACATCCGAAGGCTCTCCTGTGGTTGTTGTGGCCTGTTGCATTGCCATTGATGTGAAAAAAAAGCTTTCGACGTTTCTATCGTAAATAATAATTACTTTAAAAGTAAAGCGTGTCGTAGTAAGCGTGTCGTGGATGGTATCTTGACAATTTCAGACAGCTGTTTCAATGTTTTTAAACTACTCTCATTTTTTACAGTATTACATATCAAAGTATCATTTTTTTCATAAGTCCGTTTTCATAATTTGAATTTTTTTCTACCAACTTGTTGCAAAATACCATCTTCGGTGTGTTTCACAATTGTTTTGAATTTACAATGATGGGTACAGATTACGTACCACATTCGTCTTAGGAAATCTCAAAAACTTAATCTTTTTTTATGTATGTTAACTAAAAGTCCTTGAAAGTCTTCAACGGGTAGCTAATAAATAAATATTTTTTAATGTTTGTTTTTTATCGAATATTTACAATGCCTTCGGCCAATTAGCAGCAGATGATGATGATGAACACTATTGTTTAGAGATTGTTTAGACTATTTCACTCATGTCTGCCCGTGTCGTAAGTAACCAAAGCGAAGCAAGAATATATTCAAATTAAAACTAACCCAGATGTTTATCACCATATGATTATCACTTTGTTTTCCTTTTTGTAATCGGTAGCCATTGTTTGATGCTCATCATACACTAGATTGTGAGCATCAATATAATATTAAAATGTGTCGTTTTGGTAATATTTCAAACTCTGAAATAGAATCTATTATTAAATATTCAGTGCCAAAAAACAACCAAAGAAACTGAGAAAGTGTGTAGAAACAATTATAAGAATTTTGTGAAGAAAGAAAATACAAATGGACAACACAAACTACAAACGTAGAAATTACATATATTTTGGACAATTAATATATGAAGATTAGAAGCTGAAGAGAATAAAAAAATTTGCTATCAGAATTATGTGGAACTTTACAACCAAAATTATTAATGATATTGCTTTAATGAGTACAGATGTATGTTTAATCCATTCCAAAATTGACGAATTCCGCTACTAATTCAACTTGCACATCTTCCATTTCAAATTTGAAATCCTTCAATGGAATCCTAAGACATGAAAAACTCAACTTTCTGCAATTTAATAATTATATTTTTAATAATATATCTTGTAAGAAGATTTGTGATGAATTATTTTGAAACTTTTATTACCATTAAATCGAAACATATTTGAAAACAAATTTCGGCACTAAACTGTTATTAATATTTTTCCTTCATTTATTTATTCCAGAATACAATGTCACCCTGCTGTACTTCTTTGTTCGTCGCCGAAGGGTGGGCGAACCGTCCCCCCGCCGAACCCACCCCTTTCCCGGCGGGCGGCGGTGGCGGCGTGGCAAGGGCCCTGCGCTTGTCGGATCGGGCGGCAGTGGCGTCGACGGAAGGGGCCCTATGACCTCCTGAGCACCCGTGGCTGCGCGCGGCATTCGAGGCGGTCTCTTATTTGCAAGTCGACCCCGAAATAGCAGGCCGCCACGAATCTACACCGCATTACGGCGCTACCAACAATATTCTTTAGTTTCAAAGAACAGCTACCTCGTTGTTTTGAAGGTCGATCCACCCTGCTGAGTGCCATAACGGCACCGGGCAACAATGCTTCCTCCACTAAACAGGAAAGGTTCAAAAGAAGCCACGATTCACACGAAGTCACTCCTGTTATGCACGGGAGGAGCCGCACAGTTAGGTAGGCAAAGCGTGGGGTTGGTACCGTGGACCGTAGCGTGGTTTTTGTTGCATTTGCGCGGGTTCGGTACTCCCAAGGCCCGGGGCTTTTAAAAAAAACACGTGCCAAAGGACGACCGATCGGCCCACCCACCCCCTGTAAATTTTTAGGAGTTATCAATTTTGACGCGCACATGCGCGGCCGCTAAGAGAAAGTTGCCCCTCCCGTGCAGTGCCATATATCAACCGACGGCATGGATTAGCGTAGGGCAGATAAATTTACTTTCAGGGACAAGAAATTGCCAAAATGGGATTTTCTCGAAAATAGGCGATCAGTAGCAAGGCTATGCGCTTTGCATAAAGCTTATAGCGGTCATCCAGCTTGGAAAGAAATTAATTGGCGACTAAGTATTCCAACAGATATCAGTAGGGTTTATCACAGACACAAAATAAAATTTAACACCATAGAGGACGGAAATTTTCATTCACAAATCGAACGATAAAAGAATGGAATACATTGTCTGCAAAAATCTTTTCAGCACTTGGAGCGGGAGAGGGGATTGGAGCTTCCGTATTTTCGCGTGCGAGAACCCGGGATAACTTGTTTTTCTACCTTGGACTTGTACTAACTTGCATTACCTTGCATTATAACTTCGGCTCCGACTTGGCATTTCGACCTCGACTTTGAAATCACTTCAATTTTATACTTCAATTTCAACATGGAAACTTCATTAAAACATCTGGTAAAATTAGCATAAAATGTACACCCCAAAACTCCACTCGCCTTGGCTCGCCCAACCCCTCCTCACGCCTTCACCGACACCTCCACATCTCACGATCCTTCGTCCGCACCCCTCCTCTTCTTCCCGCCACCACACGCTACCGACCGACGCTGTTCTTAAACAGTACACACTCTCTAAAAATCGCAGAACTTTGTTTCCGGCCCGAAAGCTGCAAGGTATGTTGATTGCTTTCTATTCCCCCATTTTGAAAATTTGCCCCTATTCCCCATTGCAGAAATGTTCACCAAATGATGAAGGGATTTGTTGATGATGTTGAATGATAATTGTTTTTCCATTTTTAACCAAACTGATCAAACAGCCTTCGTAAAACACCTTTTAAAAAATATGTTATGTAATTATTATTCCATTAATTACTTACCAAACAAATCCAATTTACTCTTGAATAAATTTCTTTTAAACCTCTGCGTTGGAAGTCCAGCCATTTGTATTCTAACGCTTGCAAAATTGCCGCTAGAACAAGATAAAACCTTATTCATTTTACATTTACATTAAAGATGTATTTTCAAGAAATGTATCCTCTCCTGAAAAGGTTTTTGTTGTTAATTTTCAATTTCTACACCATATGTCATTATTTAACTCATTCCATGAGCTAGAATATCGCTAAATCTACAGGGACAATAAGAATACACACTTTCTCCAAATTATGTAATGGTTACGTAGAAAGTATTCTAGTACCAGTTGTGACACAAAAGTATTTCCAACCCGCAAAGATTATTGTCAGCACTAAAAATCAAACTTCGGAGCAAAAGCTCCGTAAAAAACTAACTTCTGCACAGAATCAATATGCTGCTTTTGCATAAACAACCCTTCCTAAACATAAAAAGTTGAATTTATTAAATTAACATTTTAGAAGTGTTAATAAAAATCTCTAGTTTGTTCTATTGAAGCCATATTCTTGCCTTCTGATCAATTTGAATAATATATTTGAACAAAAAATCTAAAAATTTTAGAGAATATCTTGTTTCCATATTTTTCTGTCTCATGAAAGTAGTGTATGTAGGTATGTATGGGATTTTTCTTCCGTAGAGCTTGTAGATAAACTAGATTTAATAGTGTAATCAGAATCTATTTTTGTTTTTTGATATTTTTTAATATTTCTCATAGTTCAGTCAACACTGCGCAAAAACTACTAAAATTTTCAAAAAAATGCACATGAAAGAACTAATTTTGGAGAACAAATCTCATGTAAAGAAAAAATCCTCATCTTCAATTATGTAATCGTAGGAAAATGTAGAAAAAGATTTAAATTTTCAAAACTTCGTAATTAACGCGGAAACTTCGGATCAATCCTAATTATTTAAGATCACAAAAACATCGATGTCATTAGCGATCACTATTGCATTTAACGTTATGGTAACTATGAAGATGACATGATATGGTAATGGTAGGGGGTGAAAGGACGAACACAAATACAACCATGCCCGAGGTGGGACTCGAACCCACGATCCTTCTATTCGAGATCGCTACGACACTACTGCCTCAACTATCTCGTCCATACGGACGACAATTCCACCTTTATAAGTGTATTTTCTCTATTTTTATAAGAACTTGATAGAAAAAAATTGGAGCCGCTTTCGAGTTTAAGCCGCTTTTAATTTAAGTTTGTGAGTTTTGCAAACTTAACAACCTTTTCTTACAATCACGAGTTATTAACCATAACATATCTAAAAATTTCAGATTTATTTTCCAGTCATTTTGAAAAATGTGCAACAATATATGCCGATAATTGATAATTCGGTAGTTATTACTATGCTCTGTATAGTAATTATTTCCTATTGCATTGGGCATCTGGTAATGAATGATCGGAGTATGGATTATCTGAATATACTCGTAGCAATTATTCTGAAGTTAAAATTAATGGTATGTGAACTACATGAATGGCACATACGAGATCCTTTTTCTGAGACATTCTTTGTACACAACGTTGTACTCTGGTTCAACACAAGAAGGTGGACAGTCACATTCTATTCCTGGTCCGTAAGCAGACGATATCCCCTTCAGACGATAGCTTGTCAGAACTGTAATATAAATGCAGAAAATATTAACAAACAATATAAAATACAACTTATACTTCATATTGACCTAGAACACTTACGCGTATTATGATCTTCAAGGCACTTCATACCATATATATTACACATAGTACTTTCCGCTGCAAGAATATAAAACTCAATTTAGTTATTCAAAGACTTTGAGAGAGCAAATTTACAGATGAGATACTTGCATTTTGGCATGTTGTGATGAGTGCAGTTACACAACCTCAGTTGGTGATGAGCACGACAATCGACTATGCAGGCCGTTTGACTATATCTATTGAATCGTTTCGATTCTGTTTCATGAGGAAACTTGCATTTTCGTCTTTCAAAGTCTTCATAAATCAATGCATCATCGTTTTTCATTTCTTTTACCTACAACAGGATCACGAGATACTCATCATTAAAAACATTTACGTCGTAATATCCAGAGATAAATCGAATAATACTAGCGTGTAAAAGAAAGGTTTTCCCTTGCCAATTAAAGCGAGAACTATACCTTCTGGCAACAAAAGGACTATTCCAGGGATGGACAAACTACTCCCGCGAGCCAGTTCCGGCCTGAAGTTTCTACACGGCCCGCCGCAAAAAATATTGAAAAAATGTACATTTATCATGTCCTAATTATTTAAATCGGGCTCGTGACGAACTCTTGGTCAGAGTACTCGCCATCCATTAGGCGGCTCTGGGTTCCAAACCGGTCGAGCCAATACTATAGTGTGCGTTTCCCTTGCAAATGTCCCAGTACATGTTGCTGTGTGACGATGAGAAAATTCACTTCTCAGGTTGAAAAGACCGGAATACGGCGTGGGGATGTCTAAGTACCAATCACACGTACGAGTACTCCCGTAACCCATGGCCGCCAGGCAGGGACGACACCCGTAGGCCTGAACCCGTCCACAGGCTGTCGCTCCAAGTTCATACATGCATACAATTATTTAAATCAATCACGAAACGGCTCTACCGATTTCGATGAAATTTGAGTGAATAATTTCTAATTACCATAAACCAAGAGCGACCATAAGAGGAGGGCAGGTGGGCGGCGATTGACGGAAATGGAAAACAGCAATCCCGGGAGACCAGATGAGGGGGGGATGATGGAACAATGGAGAGGGACTCAAAAATTAACAAGATGGACATCCGGAAGATGCATGGGCGTGATGGGGAAAATGCCGAAATAAAAACGGGCCACCCCATTGGCCGAAGGCCCACAACGGACCACCCCATTGGCCGAACGCGTGTAGGTGCGTAACGGGGCGCGTCTCCAGGCGTAAGGCGTAGCCCATCGTCTCTGTGCTTGCGGGCCTTCTAAACTGTTCCAAGGCCTCTTTTATCAAACAAGGCAACCACCGGTCTTCTGTTGATTTTGTACGGGACTCGTGGTAATTAACGAAGTAATTTCCGCTGCGTGTTCCGACTTGTGTATGTGAGGTCGCATCCGCTGCCCGGTCCTCGGTTTGGACGACGTAGACAAGTCCACAACTGCACGGGATTTCGTACACGCCAGCGCCTTGAAGAGGGTCCGGAAGATTCTTAACCTGGACTGGGCTGCCACCGATGACGTTGCGAGCGTGAAATACGGGACGGACATCGGCTCTGCGCAGGCTACCGATCTCATCTGTCTCCCCTTTGACGTAAGGTAAACGAGCTTCTTGAATTGAATTCAATTCAATTGAATTAATGCCTTATTTTACGTGGCGAGACTCAGGTCATGAGGCCCGCTCTTCCGTCTGACCACGCAAATTTCGCTACGCTCCTTACACCAATTAGCAGAGAAAGGAGGTATTTCTTGGGCAAGAAACAGCGATTTCAATTTAGCTCAGAGGCGTCATTTAGGCTTGAGGATCTTTTACATGGGACATCCGGCGTTACTTCCCCTCCGAAGGAAGGAGTACGTATTTTTTCGCCCTTAAAAATCCACGGCTTCGATCGGATTTGAACCCTCCAACTTGGGTACAACAGTCCGTTACGCTAACCGTTTCACCATCACCGCCGAAGATTCTTGCGGGGCGGACTGGAAGGTTCGTCCTGTTCCGTCGATGTAGCAGAGCCGAGCATCAACAGGACGGCATGCAAGGGCGCCTTCCCACGCCGCCACGGCAGCGCGCGTCCGTCAAGCGGCGGGGCCCTTCGCCGACCCTCCGGCGATGTCGAACAAAGGGACCGCAGCAGGTAAAACGCCGCGACCGGCGACCGCAGTGGGCGAAGTGGGCCTCCTCCGCTTCGCGTAGCGAGAGTCTTGACGGAAGGGCGCTGCCGTCGCGACGTGGGAAGGCGCCCTTCGGTCTTAGAGCCCCTTCCCACGGCGCGGCCGTAGCGCGGCGCGCAGCAGCGCGGATAAAACTATTCAACTTTTATTCTATAAATTCATTCAGATAACAACGAATTAATCGCTAATCCCTTTCGAACGAGTACCCTCTTGTGCTGCTTGTTGTAACGCGTTCTGCTACACCCATAACTTCTTCCAGAGTTTTGCTCGGCAAAACGTGGTTGTTAGGTGATTCGTCGCATGCATCATATTTGTTTCTCCTGCTTGCAGTCTTTCGTCCCTTTCAGAGGCATTTTTGCAGTTTGAGGTATAAGCAAGATTGTGTAGAATCTGGGTTCAGTTATGGATTGTAAGCAGTTTGATTCGAACCACAGGCGTTTGTGTTTGCCGTCAAGAAAACTCTAATAAGCGGCGAGTCATCATCCTGAAGTTGCTAAACTTGCATACTGCAGAAGCCGGCTATCTACGAATGGAGACACAACACTTCTTTTGCAATGTCTCTTAACAATATTGATCCGTACTCACGGCTATTTCCACTTTGTGAAAATTATAATCAATAGTTATTTAACACGTTACAATAAGATTACCCATCAGGGCCTGTGTCTCAAAAAGTAATCGCTATTCTCTATCAGTACTACCGATTTTTCTTGCTGCTTCTCCCCAACTAGCCAATTCTTATAAAACTATGACTCCATCTATCTTAAGGAGGCGTTATACATCAGATCACTATGTCTATAAGTCCATAAAACCGCGCTATTGTTACTTATTTACATAACCTCTTGTGATTTTAAAGAATCTCTTATAGCTTTTGTTTCATTTTGAACGATGTGTTGCGCATTATTGAAACTCTGTTGTACATCCATTAAATATCACTCGTGGCTACGAAAATCCTCAAATAAATTTAAACTTCCTTTGCGAGTCGAAATTTAATGGCAGATTTTCAAAAGCACTCGTTGTACTTTACCTTCGATAATACCATTTACCACTTGGTATCAAAATAGAACGATAAGCTGACGTTGGCCACTTGATTTGCGGACATGCGTTACTGTTGTCGTGGCCCTCAGGAATATACGTGTCATCCAATGTTTGCGAACACAATTTGTGCGATGACCGTGTTCCACATAGACTCGATCACCAATTTTCTCTGTAATGAAGAAATTAAGAACATCATGTCTACCCAGCTCGAACAGTGATCTTTTGGTATCTTCGAAACACTCTTTTCGACGTCTGTATCTTACCATAAAATACCTGCAGATGATCGCTAGCTACAGTGTGAATATGCGATCATAATTTTTCAGTTAAAATGAGCGTGATATGAAATGCAATATACATGTATTTGCTTGTGCGTATTGATCCAAATACCTTGACCTTACCTCACCTCTCTAAAACTATATGCTACCTGCCATAATCAATCACTAATGCTAAAGATCACTTAGCTTTGATAAAAAATCTGCAATTTTATATCTGTTAACTGTTAGGAAGGCAGTCGTAAAAACGTTCAATATCTTCAAGTTTAGAAGATTGCGGAGAGTTCAACTACAAACTCTGATACCAATGCTCAGCATTATTTTTTCATCATTGGCTCGTACTATGACTATTTTGAAACAAATCCAATTTACTTTGTAGGCCATTTTTACTTAGATATTTTGAAAAATATTAACGCTCTTCCCAGATCCTTCCCAACTTTAAAATATCACATATTCAAAAATTCCATTGACCTCAATTTCAGTCTACGGAATCGTATTTTGTTACGTTATTTGAATTGTTCAAATTTTACGGGTAGAAGGGACTAATTTTCGGAATGTTTTGTTTGTAAATCAAATTACGTTCGATTTATAACGGTACAAATAAACTGTGATTATATTTTTATCAGGCACATGGTATATATAATGTATGAAGACAGATACTTAATGTAATTTACACCTCGCTAGGAAGATAGAGTTATCCCACCCCTTTTTTCATATAACGATTGCCCATTAAGTAATTTTTTCAGTCATGAAATCGCCTCTTTCAGCTGTGGCAAAAATACCACATATTACTATCATTATCTTCTTGTGCCACTAGTTAGGTGAGACACAATAAAAAATTTAATCAATTCTTTGAAAATTAAAAATTCTTCCTTTCAAATTATAAATTTGTTGGACCACCACCCCTATAATCATACGCCAACCTAGAATCATCATCGTCCACACCCAACCGCCTTACATATTAGCTAAAAAACTTACCCAATTACCATTTTTGAATTTTTAAACTTTGAAAACATAATAACATTAGGAAGACCTCCCAAAACTCAGCCCCACCCAAATTAATAGGGCGTTATCCATACATCGTTTATTAATTGATGTGCCTACTATTCCAGCTTCAAGCTCAAAATAAAATATTAAGAGTTCCAATGTCTTTATGATTAGTAGAAAATAATCATCTTTGCGATAAAGTGGCTGAAATATTCAGGCGATTAGATTGTAAATCTTTTTATGCAATAAATTTCCTTATCGTTTTTCTATATTTTCCAATGAGGATTTTAGACTGCAATTCTTAAAGGTGTAAGTATTACTAAAGGCCCTAAAATAGGAATTTCATTTTCAGCTTTGAAGGCTAATAGCTTTAAATAACTTAAGACCTTACATTCTGAAAAAATATTATAGGATATAAAGGTAATCTAAATAGTGGTAAATTCTTGTTATTAATGGGAAATGAATGTAATAATATGAAAATTTTTGGTTTTGGTTTGTTGATTCACTTGTAATTGATTTACGTTAATTAAGAAAGGAAGATATTACTAGTCGTAAAAATAATAGAATAAAGTGATAAATGAACATAGAATTATAAATTAACATTCGAATATTACTTCATTATAACTGAGTGTTGAATAATTATTCATTTTGGGTTAGAAACCCAAGATGGGTGTAGAAACCTGCTAATGCATTTAATTGATTGATGTAAAAAATGTGATTATTGATGAATTTCATGTGAAGGGATGTTATGTGTGATGTTGAGATTGATATTATTATGAAAAATCATTAAAATTCTGCTGATAAAATAGTATAAATTAAAGAAGTAAAATTGTCATAGGGTCTCTGATATTATTAGTCCTGAATAATAATTCAACCAATATGGTTGAATGGATGAGTAGGTTATGATTTTTCGTGGTGGATGTTTATTACCTAAAATTGTTAGAAATATACAAACATTTATATGTAAAAATTATGAAAGATATGAGAGTAAGTTCTGGCATAAAAAATTTCCGGTTCATCGAAACGGCATCCGCTCCATTAGAATAACTCCTGATGATATTCCGCGTTTGCTGCTTCGTTATTTCTTTTCTTTCAACATTGTTCCTGTCAGTGACGTCATCAAAGATCGTTGAAAACGTGGTCCGTGCTACCGCACGGAGTTTCCGACGGTAGTTTCCCGACGGAGTGCAAAAACCCACTGATATCTGCCCTTTATCTGCGACCACCTTTTTTCGATAGATGCAAAATTATTGTGCACGGACAGAAGGTACAGCTATTGGGTTCACCGCTATCCCGTTTCTCGTGAATTGTTCATAGTAGCTTTTGAAGAGCAGCGTATTTTGAAAAACTCGCCGCCAAACCTTCGCTACCCTATGGCTTGCGCTACGTCGATGGCATTTCGTTATCTGGCCACCATGGCACGATAGCCTTGAATCCTTCCTCCCCGTACCTCAACAACAATCCACCCGCGCAAACTCCCTTTCCCTGGATGCTTTGATGGGCCACCACTCTGTCATTTTTGTTCTTCACAAACCCTCCCACACCAACCGCTACGTACCATGCCGACGTACATTGCACCCTGCCGCTGAACAATTTCCTTTCCATCTCCCTTACCCGGGAACTTCCCTTGTAAGTGACCACAAGAGCCTGAGTCTGAAACTGGCACTAATGACAGAGACCTTTCTGACCCAACGGCTTTTCAGCGGAGCAGCAAGCCTTCCCCGCCCTTTCCCAGCCTTTTGGAAGCCCATTTCCACGTCGCGACGGCGATGCGCTTCCGAGCAACGCGGCACCATAAGCAGTCCGTTGTTTGAATGGAGGACCTTCCCAATGCAGGGGCGGGGCTGCTGCGGCAAGCGCGCCGGACTCTCGCCACGCAAAGCGGAGGCAGGGGGTACGCGCACCCGCTAGCAAGAAACACATCTTTAATTGGGCGCCGCTTCCCACTGCGCCGCGGCCGCCAGCGTTCTACCTGCTCCGGTCCCTTTGTCATTCGTCGCCGGAGGTCGGCGAAACCTAACCCCCTTTCAGACCCCACCCCCCCCCTTTTCCACGGGGGGGGGGGGGCGGGGGGCGGCGGTTGGCGCCGAGGCTCCGCGTGTGGCTGCGTTTCGGAAGGGCTCTTGCTCCTTGAGGAAAGCGCGCCGTGGGTTCGCGCCGTGGGAAAGCGCCCTTACCTGCTGCGATCCTTTGTTCGTCGTCGCCGGAGGGTCGGCGAAGCATACCCCTGCAGACCGCCACCCCTTTCCACGGCGGGCGCGGTGCGGGCGGCG